CCTCTTATATTGTCAGGGTCTGTCTCTCCTTCTCCACCCCCTTTTATTATGCTAAGATCTGTCCCTCCTTCTCCTCTCCCTCTTATACTGTCAGGGTCTGTCTCTCCTTCTCCACCCTCTTTCATTATGCTAAGATCTGTCCCTCCTTCTCCTCTCCCTCCTTGCTTTAAGCTGTTGCCTTCTCTGTTCTTTTCCTCATTTTTCCAGTGTCTGCAGTCTCTGTCCTGCTACTCGCTCTCGCCCATAGTCTCCATTCAGCCCGTAAATCACAGGCCATGCTGTTTTATCTTTGTCTTTGTCCTTGCCATGTCTCTCTGGCCTTTCTTCCCTTTTCTTCCGCTGTGCTCTCTGTTGCTCCTCTGCTTGCATGTCTTACGTGTGGCTGTCATGTGCCTTTTGGGTTTTTATCTGCTACATGCTGGTTTATAGGGCAGAAAGAGTGGCTGAAATCTGTTCTTTATCTTTGCAGAAGTATTGTCGTATATGTAAGGCATTTTTCTTGATGTATTACTACTGTATGCTGTATACTGGAGGTTATAAAGCTATGGTCTTAAATGATAAATGTAGCACTGCAGTAGTTGATATATTTTACCATATAGGGATGCAATCCATTCTATTCAGGTTTTTCTCTGGAGAATTTGTATTCTCGGTTGCGGGCAAAGCTGGCCTGGATGATCAGGGAGAGACAGTGTCGCTCAGCAAACACTAGAGGTCACTGTTACTGTATGGGAATATCTTCCTCTCTTCTGAGAGGACTGGTTATATATATGTATATACGTGAGGAATATTATCTTTTTGGCACTTGTGATAAAAAGCAATTGTCATAGACATTATGCCAAGCAACACATAATGCTTGTGCATTTAACGGTCTCCTTGGTTCGCGAATTTGAGAGATATGGGATGATTTCATAAAACATGAAGCCAGCTAGCATCTGCCACAGGTGGTGTTAAGTGCCCGGGGTAGAGGATGGGTGAGGGGGTAGCCGTCAGCTTACGAGTCCACTGAGAGAGACACACCAGAGGGCCCACTGGACGCCACGGCGACAGCATGCAGACTCTCGTGCTGCATCACAGTGTGTGTCGGGGTATTTTCAGTCTGTGTGCTGTTACGTCCCCATAGGGTGCCTGACTCAAAAGGCTGAAATCAGATACAAATCTAAATAAAGGTGACCATATGTACCCACAGAGAGCATGACATGCTCTGAGAATGATTAGAGGGAGGTGGGAGTGCAGAAGGAGGGGGGGCCTGGTTTCTGGAGGCCTCTTTTGCATTTTTTGTTACCCTGTTAAGCAGGAGTTCGTTCAGACAGCTCCAGTATTATGAGGTACGTGACACAACCCAGAGGGGCTGGCGTTCATCTACAATGGATCTGAAGCTGTAATACTTCCTATGAGATCTCATAGGAACAGAGAGCAGCCGAGCGCAGAGGCTGAGGGCGGAGCGAGCGCAGGGCTGCCCGTAAACAGAGGCAGACGGACACCTCTGCACTAAAAACAAAGGCTTCTTTTTAACCATAGCAGCAGGTGTGGCTGCCTCCACCGTCAAGACGAAAACAAAAACCTTTGGGGAAAAAACACCAACCTGAGGAATCAGGCTGTTTCATTTAAAATAACTCATGCACTGGTAAGCGTGTATGGGTCTCGTTAATAATGTACATGGCTGTAAAATTTAGTTACAGCTAAATCACAGGACTCAGGGCTACTTGTGCCTTGGTGGAGGCTTTTAAAGAATGCATTTAGATTTTTATGCTGATTAATAACATTTGGGATAAATAAGATAAGAATTTTATGCTGCATTGGAAATATGTAGCATTTGTAAGGTTTCAGTAGATTGAATTCCTGAAGACACTCTTGTTAATAAGCATCACCCTCTTTGTTGTTTCTGTATCTTCCCAATGCCGGTATGATGCAGTTTATGCCTCTTCTAAACCTGGTAATACTGTTAATACTTGTAGTGGTGAGTCATCCCAGTGTATTATTGTGCTTAATGCGGGAGATGTGCAGCCCACAGGTCAGTATGATAAGAGCTTTAATGTGGGCCGGTGTGGGGGTGCTACGGGCTCTGCTGGCTTGAGGACACCAGCGCCATTCCCTCTGTGTCCTGTAGGTGTCGCTGTACCCCATCTGCGCTTTCTTTCCCTGCTGCTGCTATGAGCCTTGCTGCTGATGATGCCTGTCCGTATGTGCCGAGCTTGTATTTGTCGTCTGCTCCTTTTTTCGTTTTTTTTTCTTGACTTTATTTTTTTCTCTCTCTCTATCTCTATCTCTATCTCTCTCTCTTTCTCTGTGTCAGGTCACCTCCTAATTCCACCTCTTCTACTACTTCTACTACTCGTACCAATCGTAGTACCACCACAACTACTACTGCTCCTTCTACTACTACCTCCTTCCACACCAGTCTGACAGCTAACAGCCACTCGACTCACCATCAGTACTGCTGCCCTTCCCGGCTGCTCCTGCCCCAGCCCTGCGCCCTCCCCCCTGCCAGGCACTCGGATCAGGCAAGGTAAGGGCCATAGTTCTCCACCAGACCCTCAGTCCCCCACTCCAACCCCCTGCTCTCGTCACCCCTTCCAAGTCACGCAGTCACCCCCATGTTTCACTGCCCCCTTTGTGGAGCTAGGCCACTCCCCCCCACCTTCCATCTGTTTAGTCCAGGAGACAGGGCCCAGGACAGCCAGACTTACTGCCTGCTCTGTCTGGGCTCCTCAGAATCTGGGTAACGCTGCTCCACTTGTCATTAACCCAGAGGCCCTGTACCTGGTGCCAATTTACACCAAACATCAATCAAAATATCAATTTCATCTGATCACTGACTCGGCTCCTTCCTTCCCAGCTTGCCTATGACTACCTGGCCCCCAACCACTGTTATACCCCCCCCCCCCATTCCTGAACCAAAGCAACTATACAGTCCACAGTAGAAGACTAAGACTGCTAGGTCTCTGCTTGGTGATTCATTCCTGCTCCATCCCAAAAGGCATGGATCCTGAACCAGCCTCCAGAGAGACTCATGGCTGATATTTGCTGTGAGGTTTTATGACCCGGCCCCTGTAGGCTCCTGTGGGCCTCTGTGGTTGTGCAGAACCATGGTGGAAAGCATGTCTCTCATCAGCATGCCAAACCTCAGTCACCCACTGTCACTCTGACTATTGATAATACAGAGCTAGTCATTCTGCTTGTCACAGGATTATCCTGTTATCTCTTAGTCAGAAGTTTAATCTCAGCAGAGGGTTATTTATACTACCTGACAAAGGAATAGGGTGGTCATTGTAGCTGCATAGATTCACACTGCGCCCAGTGATACTGTACCCCCACACAGGCACTGCTTTGTGTAACCGAGGCCCCCATGTGCCAGTGATACTGCACACCCACACAGGCACTGCTTTGTGTAACCGAGACCCCCATGTTATTCTCACTGCGCCCAGTGATACTGCACACCCACACAGGCACTGCTTTGTGTAACCGAGACCCCCATGTTATTCTCACTGCGCCCAGTGATACTGCACACCCACACAGGCACTGCTTTGTGTAACCGAGACCCCCATGTTATTCTCACTGCGCCCAGTGATACTGCACACACACACACGCA